GATGGTTTTAACTGAAAAGCACTGAAAATACAAACACATGGTGTCATCTCACATATGGAACTGTTCAGATCTTTGCTGTCTTACCTGGCAACCCTTTCTAACTGAGGCTGAAAAATAAATCAGATGTCAATTGGTGCACTTCACACTGAAGACAGACAACAGCTCTACCTCTAAGCATTAAATGAGAAGACAGTCCAGGTCTTTCACCTATCTACACATGATGCTAAAAGCCAATGTGGTTTTCAAGTTCTGAGCCCTCAGTCTTTGACCTGCCCTCAGGATAGTAATAACCTAATTTTATCCACGTAGCAATTTGCTCTACTGCCACAGAGCAATTTCAGGTGTAGAGTTCAGATCAAGCACCTGTATTTAGGGAACGTATAATGGGAACTTGGATTTACATGTAGGTCCCTAGAGGTTATTGAAAGATTAAGCGGGCCAGTCACTAGGGTGAGAATTAGTTGCTCAGACATGCACATCCAATGCTACTCAAGAATGCCATTTGAATGCCTCAGGATATCCTAAAATATCTACACATAGCCTGCAAATATGAAAAGACCTTTGTGACACCTTTGTCTATAAAGCAAGTTGATGTTGTTAAGATATCTCAAATGGGACAGGAGACTTCACTTGTCTATCATAACTGAAACACCATCTAAGCTCTAATGATGACTGTACTGACTGTCTTAAGACTTCAAAAGGCTTGGCAAACATGAAGACATCCATTTCTGGGTGTTACATCAGCAGCTAGATCCCAACTCTACAATCAAAAACAGTGTGGAACAAAGGGAGAAGAAAGTATTTTCAAGGAAAGGCATGACATAATTGAACCATACTAGCATAACGCACATTATATGAAAATTAACTGAACATGCTACATCTTGTTATCACAATCCAGCTCACAACCATCCAGCTCTTCCTTCCAAGGCAACAAAGGACACATTAGCTGGTAAGTCAGATACTGGCATTAATATATAAATCAGTCGGTACTCCTGCAACAATGCACTGATGTTACTTAAAGCTGGGTATTCAGCTGCAGAACAGTGTCTTGTTATTTACAAGTCACAGTACTATCTGCTGTTATAGATCTGGAAACAAGAAATTAAAACATACAGCAATTGATAACATATTTCATTTCCAGGAGAAGTAGGAAGTTGAAAGTTCTCAGAGAAAATAAATATTCCTGTAACGCAATACTGACTACATAATGTGACATTCAGGTTACAAGCTAAGGCACATTTGTGAAACTGATGCAAGTATACTTGTAATTTTTAACATTACTAATAGACGAGGATGTTTTGACTAAATGTTCCCTATATCTCTTTCCAAACAAACTTCTACAGCTGCCCTTGAAGTATAATGGTACAGCATTTAAAAATCTGAAAATCTAGATTTCTTGTTTAAGACTACTTAAAAAAAAAGGTCACCCTATTTCTAGAATTAGAGGCATACAACAGTCATGCAAGACAGCAGAAATTATTTCATCCAGATAACAGACATTCTCATCCTACAGTGCAAAAAATACATTTCTAACATTGAGCAAGAAACAATTTGTTTTTATGAGCTTCAGTATCTATTGCTTAATATTTAAATTATACCGTATCTATTATAAGCATGGATGTCTGTATGTTAGAAGATGATGCAACAATTCTATTTGAAGGAGTCAAACACAGATGTGGCTACATCCACCACACTAAAAGGTAGAGCTGAAAAAGGTAACGAGACATATTGCCATATAAATCCAAGAAAAGTATGTGAACTGGTATGCTGAACATACCAGAATGCTGGTACTCAGCATTCTTTACCCTATTGGAAAGCTTTAATTCATTAAATAAACATCATCAAGAAAGGATGCATATATGGTCGTATAATTTTGAAGAAAGGTATTTATAGCTTCCATTCTTCAAGAGAAGAATGAAGTTAGCTTTTTCCAACTTAAGTCTAAGGGATTCTCAGTAGCAAGAAACAAGCCTTTGTAGCAATCCTTTGTTGTATTTGGAACATAAGAATTTCTCTTGATAGCTCAAAAAACCTTTCTCGGATTGTGACAGAGCACAGGTAGCAGATAAAAACAATTTCAGACTCAGAATGTACCGTGGATGTGCGCTGCCCTCTGCTGTACTTCTTAAATTCCTCTACTAATCCAAACAGCCATTATGCTGTTACTTTTTAACAGAGACAGGTAAGATGTACTTTACTCCAAATCAAAACACTAAAATATTACTACTCTGAGCACACAAGCAGTGCCCGCTATGGAAAGATTTATACCCGTCACCACAGACAAATGATAAGAGACTTTTCAAGACAGATTTTTAAATGCCCATTTGTACATTTCCAAGCAGGTAAGGAAAAATACACTTGCTTTAGTTGTTCCCCCATGTGCTTAGAGCAAGACCATTTACCCTAATCAAGGCTCAATGGTTAGTTTTCTACTCTCTCATACAGAGTATGCTGATTCAAAGTAACATATGCTTCAGCCTTATCTGTAAACTAACAAGCCTTCCACCTGGATGTGTCTCTTTTCCCCAAATAAGATTTTTTATTTACATATTTCTCATTCAATAAACGTGTCACTTTATTATTAACACTTAATCACAACTCCTAATTCTTCATCACTATGTTACGAAGGCATTCAAGGTATCAGAACTCCTATTGGAAGCTATAGTTCACAAGTAAGCAAGCAAAACAAACGAAACAAAAAAACAACTCCAAAAAATTGTTCCCCTACAAGAAATGTTTTTTTCTTTTGTAGGTGGCCAAGAAGGCCAACGGCATCCTGGCCTGTATCAGAAGTAGTGTGGCCAGCAGGAGTAGAGGGAGGTGATCATGCCTCTCTACTCAGCACTGGTGAGGCCGCACCTCGAATCCTGTGTTCAGTTTTGGGCCCCTCACTACAAGAAGGACACTGAGGTGCTGGAGCCTGTCCAGAGAAGGGCAACAAAGCCCTCTGGAGAAGAGGAAGGGCAACGAAGCCCTTCTGGAGAAGAGGAAGCTGAGGGGAGACTTCATTGCACTCTACAACTACCTGAAAGGAGGTTGTAGCGAGGTGGGGGCTGGTCTCTTCTCCCAAGTAACAAGCGATAGGACGAGAGGAAATGGCCTCAAGTTGCACCAAGGGAGGTTTAGATTGGACATTAGGAAAAACTTCTTTACTGAAAGAGTGGTCAGGCCTTGGAACAGGCTGCCCAGGGAAGTGGTGGAGTCACCATCCCTGGAAGTATTTAAAAGACGTGTAGATGAGGCGCTTAGCGACATGGTTTAGTGGGCATGGTAGTGTTGGGTTGATGGTTAGACTCGATGATCTTAGAGGTTTTTTCCAACCTTAATGATCCTATGATTCTATGAAAACTTTGTGAAGTTCATGCAGCTACACATGAACTCATTTTTCAACTAAAACATTTGAATTTCCCTCCACCCCAAAGCATTGACTGTAATAGTTGGAGTAGCTTAATTTTCAAATCTTTCATTTCCTCTAGTGGAGAAATCTTCTATTTATTTAGAATCACTAGAATTATTCACTCTACCAGGTCTGTTATTAATCCATACAGATGGCAACAAAAAAAAAAAAACATTAAAAAAGTTAAAACAAGTTAGGGAGAATCAAAATGCATGTCTGCTATTTTGACCTGTCAAGATACATGGGTTTTGCTGCAAACTAAAGGATGTACTTGATTAAACAGTAACTTCTACTACTTTCTCTCCCCCAGCAGTGAATTTGTAATGAGCAGGACACTAAAGAGTATTTCCTTCTTTGTTTTTAGAGAAGGCTTAAAAAATACATATATAATCTCAACCAGAGCTGAATGGTCCAGCCAGCTCAGTTAGTCTGATGATGAAACACTTGGATTTTTGCTGTACAGTGGTTTGGTTTCATCAAGAACATAAGATTCGTAGGGAATAGAAAATGCTGAAGTAAATCCCGCTCTGACAGGTCTCATGTGACATTCCCACTTCTGGGACATATCATGTAAATTTCTTAGAACAACATACAGACCTGGAAAGCTCATAGAACCACTTTGTTCAAAAGAAAGTCATATCTGAGACAAGAATTCGCATGGACATCTCAGTGAAGTCATCAAGATTATACCTAATTCCATATGATTACTGATACTACTCGTGTAAACATCTACCGTAATTGGAATAGCATACATTAAAAAAGCAGAATTATTTGACAACTATTAAAATACAACTGGCATCCAATTAGTAGATCTTGAATTTGCTTCCTGATAGCATGTTGAAAAAGCTACTAAACAGGAATGTAACAATTTAATAAAAAATTAAATGGTTTGATAAAGAACAATTAGGATACTTGGAATTGAAGTCACTTTACAAATATTTTTTAATGCATCCTTTTTTTCAGCTTTGAACCAAGAATTCTGGGGAAAAAAAAAAACGTAATTATGATTTTAGCCAAGTTTAAAGTAACAGTGAAATGTTTCTTCCTTTTACGTAAAGGCAGCCAAATTTTACCATATACTATGTCCATACTACTTTCAAAAAAGGTAGCATCACTCAAGAAAATTCTTGTTTTTAACAAAAAACAACTTACAGGTCCAGCTTTCAGTGTAAAAAATGTGATGGTAGAACACAGGATTGTAAAATAAGCCAAATGAAAACTATAAAAAAACCCAGTATTTTTAAACACATCTGTGTTTAGGTGATGTTAGACTACCATTACCTACAGATGGATAAATGGTTCAAACTGACACCAAACCCACATATCAGGTAGACATTATATCTTGCCTACTAATGTGTTTAGAGCAATTAACCTACTCGCTTTCTTATTCTTCAACTGCCACTTCATACTACTAATATTTTAAACCTAAACTTTGTTTCACTGGATCAAATATTACCTTAGATGAGACAATATAACTTTACATTTAAAAATATATTCTCATCTACAATACTCAGTGGGTTATACTCAAAAGGAAAATGAAGCAAAACAGTACCAACACATTAAACAACTGCTGTTTTAAAATTATACTGCTAAAAAGAATTACCTGTTTTTGTTAGCAAAAGATTATCCAGATGTCTATCTCCAACTCCAAGGATGTATGTAATTACACAATAACCAGCTGTAACAAGTAAATTGTAAACATCAATATAAGTACCCTTCCTGGAGAGCAACAAGTTCCACACAATTAACAACAGCATATGACATTATCTTAGTTCTCGTTCACAAGTAATAAATATAGCATAGAGACTTGGGCAGGATGATGCTGGTGAAGAATAATCAAGATTATCAGCAGTAGGAAGGACATTTGAAGTAATAAATTCACACTCTGACGTTTATCCAGTACTGCCTAGATTTTAATTTCTTACTACACAATTATATGCCTAACACTAAAAGCCTAAATTCATTCAATATTGGGATTAAGATACTTCAAAGGAAGATGAAGTATTTTGAGCAAAATGAATGTATACATTTTGAACTTAAGATATTTTAGGACAACAGCAAAAAAGCATTAGACATTGATATGAATCTGAATGTATACATCAGCAGTATTTACAAGCTAAGCAGTAAGCCAGACAGCGATAAATAAATCAGAACTAACGCAAACTGTTTTAACTCTTACTTTCACCCACTAACCAGTCTGAAGCAGTTCTAAAGACTGAACCATCAGAAAGAGAAAAGGAAGGAAGATACTGTGGAGCAACAACTGAATTAGTTTTTTTTTCCTGTAGAATGAAGTTGCTTTTAATTTAATGGACAGCAAATGCGATATTTCAACATTGTCAGCAGGTTACCGAACAAGAACTACACTACCACTTTTTCTTGTCATCCAAATGGAACAAGAAGTTGTTCCCCCCCAAAATCCCGATGTTTTGAAAACAAATTAAAATTTTCTGCCTCAAATACAGATGATTTATTATTATATAAATGCTTTACATGTCCTTGGATTATAAAGACCCCAACTCATGATGCAGAGGGGGCAGAGGTAAGATTATCGCTAGAAAGCAAGGAGTATTTAACTTCTAGTCCCCTTTAAGGAGAACCAAGAGGGCTGAGGAGAGGAATTGTGTATGACATGCCAGGCTCAAAACTACTCTTTTCAAGGGATTCTGACAGCAAGTACATGCATAGTGCCATATCTGCAGTCATCTAAACTGAAATGTCATAGTCTCTCATCTAGCCTGTCCTTCATACTTCAGATATGAAGTTACCAACTGTAAGACTGTAACTTACCACAGCTCTTAACATACGTGTCCATCACCTCTGCACTTATTCCATGAGGGCCAGTCTCACTAGGTGCATGTTTTCTGAAGAAGTTCTGGAGGGGAAGGCATCAACAAATTTAGCTATTCTACATGATCTGAAATAGGATCTTTAGAACTGGTAGAAAAAGAGATTTAAATCAAGACCACAAATGGCTGTTACTACAATCTGTTACACTAACAACCACTCCCAAAAACCCTAGTAAGATCTAATTTAATTTCATTTTCTGTCTTAATCATCACATTCTTACACTCAAAACCAGATGTGAAGTTCAAATTGAAAAGCAGTTTTCTTTATCAACCACTTCAGAAAATTAATAATGCATTGAAAAGTTACTAATTAATAACTATGAGTGCAAAATACTTCCACAGGAAACTGTTTAGGCCAAACCAACAAAAACTAAAAACAGGACTAACAGTCCAGATTAGTAATTACATTTGGAATACGCAGTCTTACAAGGTTTATCATCATTACATATCTCCATTTTCCTCAATACAACCAACTACTACTGAGTTTGAAAGGAAAAATCTAAGCCATCAAATGGAAACTTCACATTTTCTGTGAAATGTGGACAGGGCCAAAACAGTCCTTCCCACAACTCAGAACAAAACTGGTTTTTTTCTTGATTGAGACAAAAGATAAGTAAAGTAAATCCAAGCCTAAGCACAAGTTTCTTCCAGTAAGCAAACACAAAGCTAAGCAAGCACTGTAAGTGGAGCTTTGTAGGCAATCTGGATGACATGAAGTGACTAAAATCATAATGAAAAAGTGAAGGGAATCTTAAAAAAAGAGAAGGAGGTACTGAAGGAAGGTACCTGCACGCTACTTAAGAAAGTTTTGCTTGAAAAGCAGTCCTGTTGTAACACATATCAGAGTTCAGGGCCTGGAGAAAGCTTTAATTATCTTTGCTTAGAGAGGAACAAGCCCTTCTGAGATACATTAAAAAAGCTAACCGAGTAAAAAGATTCTGATAAATGAAATCCCTAAGCGAAATGTGGAAGGAAATTTTTAACTGGTTAACAGGGTACTAGAGAGATCTACTTTCAAAATTTTATATGCTGTATGTAAAAAAAACAAAAACCAAACAAAAAACAACAAAAAAAAAAACCAAAAAAAACCCCACAAACAGACTTCAGACCATCCAAATGCTAAACTGTAGAGTGTGGAACAGAAATACCTCCAAAACATGAACCGTAATCTCAAGACTGTTGATAGAAGGTAAGTAACACTCAAACATCAAAACATCTTTTCTTCCCTGCAGCTCTGCATTACCAGCCAGTGTTAGATTACTTGCTTTAAATCTTTTCAGAAGTGAAACATTTTAAAATATTTATATACAGTGCCCATCTTTATTAAAACAGCTGTGACACCCAAAATGAACATTTACAAAAAGAACAAACCAAACTTTCACAACACCTAAAAATGTTCATTTAGTTTTTATTTCCTTGGCCTACAATGCCCAGCTCTTTTATCATGGTTTGGTATAGGAAATCTGGGCTCTATAATGTATTTTGCCATTGATCTGTGAAGTAATCTTAGATCACATTCTTTTGGCATCTTGTCTATTTAGATTAGCAATTCTTCACAGGAAGAATTGCTCCTTATGACTGCACAGCAACTAGAACAGTGGGGCACCTATTTTAGATTGGAAGATGATGTTATAAGTAATTGCAAAATGACAATTTCACAAGCATTTCTAAATATATTATTTTATAAAAACATATAATGGAGTAGAATACGAATAGTACATTTCCAAGATCGCAAAAGATTGCCAAGAAAACACTTTATAAACTGTATGATTACTGAATGCATAGATGTAGCTTATCACAATCTTTCTGGAACGGAAAGCTCAAAAAATTTATGCAACTTGATGCTGGTCATTGCCTGATTAATGATAAGCATTTTTCATAAATGATAAGCATTTTATATGCTTATTTGTTAAGCAAATGATAATGACAAATTATAAGCATTTTTTAATCTCTGTATTTTTAATATATGTAGTTTATAGTAGCTGGGACACTAATATGTATACTAGTATACTACTAATATACATATTATATGTATATAGTATACTACTAATTACTATACTACTAATATATATAGTTTATAGTATCTGCTTTGGCTCCCAGTTACTGAGCTATGAACAAATGCAAACTTCGGTATCAACTACAAAAAAGGGAAAAAAGATACTGTGACAAATTGAAACCAACATAAACATGCTGTGTTTTCATTAAAAAACTTATTAGCTATGTATCTCATATGGCAATTTGGTATGTTTTTATCTAACTATATTTACCTCAACCAGATGAGCTCTGCTACCTGGCTTGTGTGCGGTGCTTGAAACTAGCATGAATTTTGCGTGCCACTATTCAATTATGTCCCTACTCAATTCCATCACAGTTACAGAAAGTTTGCTTAAGTAAAAAAAAAAACCAAAAAACAAAACAACAAAAAACAGAAAACCTACACAGTATCTGTACATCCACTACGGCAAGGAAACAGACTTCAGAAATTATATGAACAAACTAGTTGTTCCATCAAAAAAAATCATTAAAACATACTTTGGCAAGGTATCAAGCCATAACTACTGAATGAATCACAGAAACACTTTAAAACAAAACAGTAGAAAAGTGTCATGCATCTTCCATTCACCATTACAGCAAAGCTAGAATTTCAGTATCACAACTAAACTACACTTTAATTATTTAAATTATATTACTTTTAGGACATGAGATACTCATGTGGTAATTTAAGTATATTTTTTTCAAGCAAAATATCTGCTGTAAATACCCTTATGTTTCAAGCTGTCATTTGTCTTCTAACAACAGATACAGAAAGCAATTCAGAGACTAAAGACTTCTGCATGAGATCTAAACCTGCAATTTATACTGTTTGATCAGAAGATGACTTAAAATCCCCCATCACGTACCTGTATACTTTCCTCAGTAGCAAGAACTTCTGCAACTGGTACTGACTGAATAAACTGCATAAAGCCTGTGACAGAAAACAACCAAAAAAAACCACTCTCCAATGCATAGAACTTTCAAGCTACTCTATAACACGTTTATTAAAGGGCAACACTAATACACACTTTCATTCAACTGCTTCTCATTGGCAAAAAACCATGTTTGGTCCCCATTTTCTGTCTTCAGTAGTTTTAAAACAACTTGTCATTAACACCAAATTAGCTTGCAAAAGGTCTGTCATTCCAAGTTTTCATCAGGAGAGAAAGATAAATCAATGGCTATCAATATTTATCCAGAATGTATCTAAAAGCATAGCCAAGTTTGATTTTGTTTTGTCTTGGTTTTTTCCTCCATGAAATGGAGGAAAGATCTATAAATAGGAGTGTTAAAAGTTATTTGTCCAAGATCACACAGCAAGCTAACAGCGAAGATAACATTACTAATTGTCACATACTCCAAAATCCAGACCGGGCTTCTTTTATGAAGATACTTGAGTCACCTATGGAATACTGTGGTCACCCAGGTTGTTTACTTCCATGACTTACATTGCAACAAGATTTTCTTACACATCTGAGCTCCTCTTTAGAATGCTGTACTAAGCAAAACATCTCTCATGAAAATAATGTGTCACAACAGCCTATGACCAGAAGGAGAAGATTCCTCCCAATTACTGTACTTTTAGGAAACAAAAGTATTCATACCATGTTTTGTACTAGTTGCCAGCACTTTATAGGGGGTCAGCTTCAAGTCCAGATTCTCTTTTCTTAACAGCTGGAAAAATACAACACACAAAAAAGCAAAGATGAATGCAATAGAAAGGCACCTTCTACTTCTAAAAGGAATGTGTATTGGACATTGATCTCCACTGTTCTTCATTGAAATTGGTAATGAGTGAAAGCCTGTTTCCCAATTTTTTAATTTTTTTTTTTTTTTTTTTTAATTTACACAGGATCATTACCTGTCTGTAAAGAAAAAAAGTCACCTAAGATCTGAGAACCCTGGAACGTATTAGGAACACAAGCTGCACTAACAGCTTTCACCAGTTTTGCTCTTGACAAGGAGAATCAAGAACATAGGAGGACAAGGATGTGGATTTATAATTCTCACCTTATCCATGAGTGAAATAATCTGAAGAATAAGTTGATCTTGACGTAAATCATCACCATGCTTAAAAATTACAGGATATTTGCCTCCATCTTCTGTCTTGAAGAATAACTGAGCAGGCATTAAGGCACTCTGGAAAAGGAAACTTACTCTACTAAGCTGGTTCACAGCAATGTTCACATTAACATGTTGCTACAGCGGAGTTCTAAAATTTAAATTCTTGGTTACTGCATTGTAAATTAGAAGTGAATTAAGCGAGTAACAGAAAATACTCTTTTTGAATACCAACAGCACGGCAGTGAGCACCAGAAGTCTCTCCACGTTCCTTAAGTTTGGTAGAAAAGAAGCAATTCTAAAGCTTCTAAAAGCAGTTACTCACTGTCTAGCACTCAACAGTTAGAACATACCGTTTCCACTTACCAAAAGTGCATTCTAGGCATGTTTTTAAAAAAAAAATCTTAAGGCTTTCCTTCTTTTTTAGCAAGGAATGTGAAGGATACATTCCTCCCGCATTCCCCCCCCAGAACCAGAGGAGGAGGAAAGGACAGGAGGATTCAAATTTTGCCTGTATGCATGTAATTCCAATCAACATAAAAGCACTATGCAAAAGGTCACAACAAAACAAATTCAAACTGACCAGATCAAAAAGATTATAGGATAAACATCAAAGAAATGCTAGGGGCAAGGCATCTTAAACAATTAATTGCTTCTTTAATTTATTTAGTGAAAGCAAAAACGCCTTTCTACATTGTTGTTTGAGAAAGACAATTTAATTATTTGCAATTTCTCTGCATAAAATGGGTTGAAGAGGATCAATTACCTACATGAATGATTTCACCTATTGCAGCTGACCAAGTCACTTCCCTCAAAGCGAAACAAAAAAAAAATCAAGGATACAGAGTTTAATATCTGAGCAGTTATGGTAGATTTTCACATGCAATCAATGTTTCAAAATTATTAAGTTCCATAAATAAAGGAAAAATGATTCTTTAAATAGTCCTACAAAAGCTGCCACGTGATGTCCAAGAGCACCAAAAATTAGTCATTCTTCCCTCTTTGGGTGTGTTTGGTTTTTATCCCATAGTACAGAATGAGAGATTAAATGGAAATTTGTAACCTTTCAGAATCAGGAGGATTGAAACCATCTCTGATTTTGAAACAAGTTACATCTCATATTTTTGGTCCTAAATTTTCTACATTGCTACAGAAGACCAATATGTAGAAGATTATCTGACTTGAGTTTGTCCTGATCAAGTTCAGCTATTATTCTTGACAGGAAATATTTAGTTGCTGTTCCAGCAGTCTTTTTGTCAACATTCTTCCCCCGACCCTTAAATCATATTCACACTAAAAGCCGACTCAAGTTTACAAAACCTTGTTTTCATGACAAGATCTTTCCAATGTTGCCTCCAACCTGAGGTGCAAGAGCATGGAACTGAAGAAGCATACTCTTCAGTTTATATACCAGTTAGTAGCAAGCTGGTATATAAAGTAGCAAGCCAAAGCTGGGAAACCAAGAGATGGTATGGTAGAAAACTATGCAAAAATGGTCATCTCTGATTTTAAGTAAACACAAATTATATCACAGTCAGCAAGCATCTGTCAAAGTTTGAAACTACTGGGTATAATACATTTGTGACCTAGTAGAGATGGTGTGGCAACACGAGTTTTTTAATTGGCAGAGAATGCCTCCTGAATGTAGGCCTGACTGGTAAAGCTCATTTTGGTCATCTTAAACTTAGATCACAGTCATCTATATGAGTTGAAAGGAAATTTATGAAGAGGTCCTACAACACTGGACACAGGTAATAACTTACATTCCAGGCAATAACTTACCTTCCAAGTAGTATAGGAAGCAAAATAACCCCAGCCCTTTCAACAGCACATTGACTGTTTATTAACTAGATTAAGGGCTGGTCATATGATCACAATCAACTGCTACAGATTGGTTTAAGGACTTACCAACCACAGGGATACAGAATCTACCTGTCAGCCCACTGCAACTGCATGAAATGGACCACCTTATTGCTTTCCAGTCTCTATCAATCTCACAGTTTTATTTTGCAATGGAATAGACACATACATCTAGTTGAGATGCAGCACACCTGACTTGATTTGTATGATTTTGATCGTAAGTGGTATTCCCGTTGAACACAGTCTAACTAAAGTTCAGAGAATTTCTAAACTAGGAAGCATGCCTTCAGCTTGGGGACTTCATAAACTTTATAAACTGTATCAGTCTTATAAAAGCTTCTTTAAAATTTTCACCTTAACTTGGAAAAAAAAAAAGAGTTTCACAAAAAAAATAAAGAGTTGTTTAACCACTTTAAGAGCACATTACAGTTACATTTTGCCTTGACTACATCAGCCCCTTTAAATCTTCCAACTGATGTTTCTAAGCTTAGTGCTCATGAGGTTTGTTTGTATTTCAGCTATTCAGAGATCTCATTTACCTTGAAGAGTGTGGCTTTTTCAGGGATTATCCCTTTAATTTTCACTTGAGGTTCCAGAGGAAGTGGAATAAGTTCCATATCTGCTAAATTCATCTTTTCATTATCTGCTAATAATGCCTGAAGTCTCTCATTCTAAAAGAACAAAATTTTGTTTTAAAAACAAACCAATCATAACACACATACTAGATATATATGAACAGTTTAAAAGTCTTTTAACAAAGGATGTGTTACTAGTAAATATCCAATTTATCAAATTCTTTACTCTTCCAAAGAATCAAGATTTCACTCTTAAAATACAGTGAAACAAAAATTCTCTATTTGCAGTAATCTGAATAAGAAAGCGGATATTCCACCTAGTCTGAGTACAGTCAAGCAATTTTATAAGTGCCAGGTATAACAGTCTTACAAAAGTTTATTTCTAAATTGCCTGCACAAGTAGCAGGATGATTTATTTTCTATACCAGCATCAAATGTTAGTTCTGTTTCAGAAACTTGATTCAAGTCTTCAGCTCTGATCCTTTAAATCCCTGAACTCAAGGAGATTCTCTACCACCAATGAACCAAATTGCCAACAGCTTGCATAGATCTGATTTCAGAGCTTGCTCTACATTCCTACATCTGTAGTTACCAGAAATACAACAGTTTTCAAATTCTTTATGCTTGGTGTCCTATATAATAAAGGTCGAATACATAAAAGTCTCTAGTCTTTTCCCCTACCGAATATAACAGGCATGAACACAGACACGCAGGAAGGTAGCCCACTACTGTTGGGAATGCTTCTATTGGTTAATTGCTGCTAGCTAGATTTTAATCCAAAAATCAAAGCCATGTGTTTCTTAGTTTTACAGAAATATAATGGCAATTATAAAACAACATTTGACAGAACGCTACCAATCTATTGCACAAGCAGGAAATAACATTCTTATGAATTGAAAAACCCTTCTCCTCTTTCAGTGATTACACCTTTATTACTGATACATAGGACATTCACAAAATTTCATAAAAACAATGCAATGCTTAAGTGTTTCATTTTCCTGCACAAATATACCTAACAGATTTAAAGAAAGAAGGTGAAAAAAATTACTACACTAAAAAATCCATGCTTAAAAATACTGCTGTGTGTCAGAGGAAAACACATGAATAGAAATTCTTTTGGCATTAAATCTGTCAAGTTCACTTGAAATATTTTAACTAAGAAGGGCAAAGCTTCTTAAAGTGCATCTATGATAGAAATCCTTTTCCTCAAGATGCAACAGATAACTTTCAGAGAAGGCAAAGTTCTGCTAAACACACACCTTATACAAGAATAGTTTTGTTGCTCTCGGAATAAACGAAACCTTGCTACTAGTCGAATTTCATTATCTATCCCGGCATAATTCTCACACCACAATAACCTCTGCTCCCTTCCCACGTCCCCCACAACTTGTTCACTGTCATATCATCAACTATTCAATCAGTCCCATATCTCCCTTTTGCCAAAATATCCCAAGATTTTTCTCAAGGGCCTCTTCTCTTTTTCATCTACAAACTTTCAGAACACTTTTCAACTCTGACTCAGCTAAACCTCTCCTAAGTTTGTTTAAAATTTGCTAAAATTATTACAGGATGGGCAGACATCTGTTATAAATCTCAGTGCTAAGAATTTTTACTGAAAAGCTAACATTCCTATTGTCAAATTCTAGCCAGAGATAAGTTTTCCAATCCTTTAGTTACCTTTTTCTTACGATTCCCACTTTCACGCTGCACTGCTTTCATCACATGAACCAGCCGATCTACAAATGTCTGCTGGGCTGCCAACAACGAACGCATAACTCTGACAGACTTATCACCCTAAGTGAATTAAAAGAAGCAAAATTAGTTCTTTGTTCTGTAACTATTTTATCTAGAAATTATTCCTTTATTCTTAGACCTTTGGGCTTTTAAGAGGTAAGTGAATAAAGATCAATTTCCTGTCAATTCGAAATGTATTTTCTGTAAAACACAATCAGAATCACTGTAGCTGGCAATCAATTATCGGATGTACCAGTGCACTTCAACTTGCATCAACAATTTCAGTGGTGAACAGTCATGCATGACAAACCTATTCACACAACCAAATCAAGTTAGTAAGGATAAGCACATGAAATATTCTCATGAAGCATAAGAGTCAGATTTGAATAACATCCCTAAAATGGGAATTAATATGAACTGTGAGATACACCAAAATCAGGAAAGACTGCACATCTGCTATAAATTATAGATTGCAATTCACAAAAGTGGGGTTTTTTTGTTGTTTTTGTTTTTTCCCACCACTGCTCCAGCATCCTCTGCTGCTGATACACAGAACAACACTCTGAATTCAAAAGACAGGTCTCTTGTCTCAATTTGCACTGCAAGGACAAGCGCTTCCAATAACGAAACAGTAAATAAAATAGACTAATTACACAAGGCAGAGGATTTTAGAACCAGCATGTTACTAACAGGAACAAGCAATAAAACAGAGGAAAAAGTTCTCAATACTTGTTCTTTTCTTTTTCAGCAGTTTCTTTGGTTTACCACAAACTCAAAATTCAAGCGAAAGTGGAAGCTTTTTTTAAGATTTCAATACGTATGACATGAAAAGCTGTCCTCCTTCTAGACACCTATGCCTTTTTAAAGAATGACTATCCCAAAACACTATGTATTTCCTTACGCAGAGGCATTACCTTCAGCAAAGCCTGACTAAATCTTCTCATCACATTTAAGTACATTTCGTGAGTCTTTGGGTCCCTCTGCTGAGTGTCTTGGTCTTCACACTCCACTATTACATACCTGCAGCATAAAAACAACCCAAGTTAACGCTGTACTCTGGTGCTATACAATTTGAGTGAAATACAGCAGCCCTGTATTATAGGCCTGGAACTAAAAATGAAGTCGATCTTTGAATGAGATATCAACCAACAGGTGAACACTTCAAAATTGCATAGTCAAATTCCCACCTGGATCAGGAAAGTCTATCAAAGTTTCTGCGGTCTTCCACTTACAGTGAAGTGGCATCACTCAAACAGGACAAGTCAGAAGTCCAAATCATATGAACACTCCAACCGAGCAGTACACATGGGAGGAGTGGGAATTCCACTGTGCTACTACCCTCTACATAATGTAGTGGCTGCAAACTTGCTATTCAAGTATATCTGCAAAAACAGGAAGAATGTCACCCTACCCGTGTCCTATTTTACCATTAGCAATGATGGAAAAGACAGTATTGGTCTTGAAGCAGCTCTGCAAAGTCTACATGCTAAAATAAGTTTTCATTTCTAAAATTATGATTCAAGTACAAGATTTAAACAGTACAATTTGGAACAGTTATATTGAAAATTTAATTTGATACGTTAAGCAATTGTTTGGAAAGCTTTTGGCCTTATTTCTATTCACAACACTGACAAGCAAAAAATAGCTATGCATGGAAAGTCATCTTTCTGTTGATCAATATATCTCATAGTATTACCCAGTAAAAACATACACCCCACTATTAAAAAAAGGAAGAAATTAGCAAGTCTGTCGATTTTCAAACACTGCGTGTGAATTCAAAAGCGACTCCACACATTCGACAAACACACTTGGACTTTACAGCTAGAATTACCCGTTCCTGACGCACTTGTGCAGAATCTCTTTGCAACTGAATGCTTACGGGACAAGATTAGAGGTTTGTCATTTGCAGCTGATCAGATTTGACTAGTCTTATTTATAAATACACAATATATTATATACATTAAAATAAGGCATATGTAACTTATTCCATGAGTATTATCTCAATGAAATCTATAACTAGAGACTAATTCCAAAACTTTGCAAATATATTGTTCTACACCATTCTCTCACTAAAATGGCAAAATTAGATTGCAGTAATAAGTGTATAAAAATAACCCCATATTTACAAAGTCTGTTCACCAAAACTTCAAGGAAAACATGAAGTAATGAATTGAAACATGCCATTTTCATCTTCATTTGTTAAAAAGCCCTAGACAGTTCCTCAAAGCTATCTTGAAGCAAGGAGTAAGAGTAATGCTTCATACTTGGATAGATGTCTTATACATCTGAAGAAGAGACAGAAAAAAGCAGTAGCGCTGTAGCCGCTGTTAAAGTATACGGATAGGATAGCTTTACAATGACAAGTGACTGAGCAAGGAGGTTTGATTTTCAAGGGTTATTGTACTTTCTCCATTGATTATTTTAGGTGCACGCTGTGTCTGGATAGTTGAAACAAGCAATTGATCAGCAGCCAAGAGGATTTATTGCTACGTCAGCTCAAACAGTGGCTGCAACATTTGTATTTTGTCACTGAGAAATTGAGATGTCTGGAAAGAAAACAAAGAATAAATTGACTGGGGTTTTTTATTTGGGTGTGGTTTTTTTTTCCTAGTCCTAAGACAAAAAGTTCAGAGTTCTGGATGCTTTGAACTTTCTATAGACTGAATGTCTGAGATGTTGCTGAAATGCAAGTGCACATTTTCTATCAAGGTGATAGAAATAAGCTAGCCTACTAACACTTATCTTAAATTAAGAATATTTGATTAGGTCAAGCATTTGGCTTCTACCCACATCAATTAGGCCTGCAATTATTTTAATCATTTAAATTTAATAGCACTTTTTTCTGAAGCCAAACATTATCTTTGGCCACTGCAATAAAAGTATGTACACTAAGGAATTGTAGATAAGTCATGCACTCATATATTTTAAATTTAAGCTACTGAAAATGCAATGAAATAAAACTTAAGACATTTACAAATGGAGTCACTCTCAGGGTAGGTTAGGGTTCCTGAAAGAATTTTATAAGAACAGTTTAGTAGGTTTACATCACATATCACATTCTGTTCCTAATTCACAGCTTATCAGTGATTAATATTCATAGCACATGAAGATATGACAATGTGTATTAGAATTTTTAATTATTAGATACATCTACAAAGGATACAAATGAGAATCATTTAAGTTTTGCCATGTAAAAGGCATCTAAGCTCTCTATTTTAAAATATGTGTGTATATACAAGTAAATAGCTGTACGTGTTGTGTATATGCATATACACATAAATATATACACATATACGCACAGACTTGCACAGAGTACAGCTCTATTTACCTCAGCTTTCTTCAAATGAGGTAATTCTACCTGCAAATGCTTACTCAGAAGGCATGCAGATGACTAGTTTAGGCATCCAATTTAATTCTTAAATCTTGAAGTGAGACAATATCCTTAGCTGAGTAATCTTACCTCTCCACTATCTAGATAAACTACTCACAACTAAAGTTCCCCTTAAAAAAAAGGGATGAACTTTATCTCCTTCCCACCACCATAAACAAATTGAATGACAACTTATAAACTATAGTTAGGCTTTTTTTTTTTTTCTTTAAGCACTGTACTTAATGACTTACAAATCACCTTCCTTTGTCTAACAGTAAAGCACATTTGTGCATTTTAAAAACCAGCACCCTCCTTTTACTACTTATTCTGTTCAAATGTGTTTTGTTTTAAATCTACTACTTCATCCTAACAGAAGTGGAGATTCTCAAGTTCTCAAGACAGGTCATCTTTTGCTGTGCACCCTTCTGGGCATTAGAGCTTTGATTTCAATTAGACATTGATACAGTATGAATAAATAGTTTCTAACATACCAGTATAAGTAGTTTGCCAACGTGGAATTTTTGCATGCTCGTGAAATCAAGAAAGTGCAAAGGTCTTGCTGGAAGGGATTTAAGAAAAGAAAAATTAAGTTATAAAGAAGTCTAAGCACTTGAGAGAGAGACAAAAGTTAAGGAAAAACCCCAAATAATTGCAGGGAGTTTTGAGAGACACATTTCCTTCTAAAATCTGAATCCAATCCAACCCAATATTTAAATCATATTAGTTTTAATATTACTCCAAATCCAGCAACAACATTACAAGTAAAAAAAGGTCTGCTACTACAATAATATATTCACCAACATGTCAAAAGTACATGATGTAAAGTTTTTATTTACAATATATTACACTTTTCTCCTATGCAATTATCCCTTGCTGCAAGATTCAACCCTGAAAGGGATTTGCTACCCTGTTTGGCATCCAGAAGATCTAAAACTCCCTGCAATGTTCTACATTTTAACATAAAGAAAAAAATCTGTAGAGGATACACAGCATTTATCTGCTTTTTCAAGGTTTAATATTCCAACTAACAAGAAATCTGTGTATCTTTACTGATGTGCTCAATTTGAGGCTTATTTTCTATGCAGTACTGAGACCCAGAAAGGAAGATTTGCAACAGGGAATGGATCTTTAGTTCAAAGACCAGTTAATTGCACATCAGACTAAAATCAGGTTCCCCTCAAACTGTCTTTACCTTTTATCTTTCCCTCCCTCCAGTCCCATTTTTATTACTCTTCTACTTGTAGTATAAATTGAGTATAATCCTTGGCAGATGTAAATGAACACAGTGTCCCACTTAGGTCCAAAAAGACCACACCCACACCAAAGAATACGGCTACAGGAAGAACAGACTGCAGAGATTAAAACATTTGGATAACTGTTTTCCATTAAAAAACCTGCTTTAGAACACGTCAAACACATGCAATTGTCAGTATCTAATCAGCATGCGATAGCCTTTGCAGTAATTTTCTCCTTTAAACAGAGTACTTTGATTTTATGAAGAATTCAATACCCAGTCCCCCAATTTTGGACAGTGTGACCATGTACATAAATAGATGGCCTGTAAAAAAAGAAATCAGTTAAGCTATTGCTATTTTCTTAGCATTTAGTTTTTTGAGCACTTTCAGTATTCAGCAAGATACAGTACAGCAGAAAGATTTAAATATTCACAAACAAAAACTAAAAACAGTACTAGGTCACTAAAAAGCCACAAGTATCAAAAGTACAAGGTAAAGCATTTGACTTACATCAAGGTTTTCATTGTCTGCAAGTTCCTTTGTCTTCGAAGTAAGAGGTGGTGAGGAAACAGGTGGAATAGGACTCATGATCTGGGAACTACATCAAGGAAAGCATGTAATTGGCACGATTCAAAGTTCTTGCTTGGGGGACAGGGGGCATGCATGGAAATAGCAATGCATTTCACTTCCATAGCATAATAAATTCAGAAAACTGGGAGAGAAGTATCTTTGAACATAGTATCTCAACCCTGTTTCAGAACAAACTGCATGAACAGCAACTTTGACAGCTGCAGGTCCTGAAAAAGGCAAAAATCCGTGCCTGGATAGCTACACAGTTTATAGTTGGGAAGGACATTCGCTTACATCAAACTTAGCATTTTGTTTCATCTTCCATAAAAAAAAAGCAGATGGGAATAAATAGATGGGAATTTAGCAAATCCACATTTTCAGGATAAGCTTTTTTTAAATGTTCTTAAGATGAAATTGCTAATACACAACACCTGCAAGCACTCCTCTGGAATGCAATTACACATAACAGAGTAGACAAACCCAATGCTTGCAAGGCAAAATTATCAGACAGTAAATTTACCTGAAAGGAAGTAATCAAACAGCTCTACTAAAGTCTAAGTGTCACTGCAGCCTCAAAATACACCATACATCCCAGGACACCCACTCTACAGCTTAGCAGCAAGATCAATGAAAAGCAGTATTCTTGTAATATGAAAAGTATACCCTAGCGACACAAGTGATTAGACACTGAAGCTTAAGACTAAAAATCCTGGAAATTTGTACTAAATATTCACGGGAGACTTCAGTTAATCAAGTTTGTTTGCACCTGGCTTAATACCATATTAATTAGATATTTCAGCCTTTCCTTTGGATTCCTGCAAGAATAAAAAGTGTGCTCCCCCAGCTCCTTTACATTCACAGGACTCTCCCTACACCTTCTTTTGCAGGAGCAGGAAGAAGTTTCTTTCCATTTCAGACTGATCAGACTTTTAGATCCATGTTCTTTGTTGAAAGCGGGAAGAGGAGCCTCATACAACAGCTTCATTGAAGACATCCTAACTTTTGCAAGGACAGAAGGAAGCAATGCCAGTGTTTTTCCCTGCTCTCCAGAAGTTGTCTTCTTTTCATGCAGTAAGGTCAAAGGCCACAACCTCAAGATTAAGAATGTTTGCTCTGTAAACTATCTGTAGTCAGGAAATACATTTTGTGAAAGCTCAGGGCTTAATTTTTTTTTTTTTATGTCACCACTTCAGATTATAAAATAGGATGTTGAATATGCAATAATCCCTAAAGGAGAAAGAACATGAGGGCTTACAATGTTACGTGTTTCTGCTTTTCTACTGGAAATCTAAGCTTCTTACCTGTCTATTTCTGCACCATTAGTTCCAGATGTTGTCATGCTTTCTGACATTGAACCTTGACTGTCCCTCTTGCTAGGTTCCAGTCCATTCTTTATGTCATCAAAGTTTTCATATTTCAATGCCTGGACTAACTGTAGCAGGTACATCAGCAAATCCTCATGGAGGAAAAAAATTAAAATTAATTGAGGGGATCAGTCAAAGCTGACTAGGACTCCATATGATTTCAAAATTCCAATTTATAGAAAAACTTATTCAGGATTCAGTGACCTACAAAGAAATTGAAATTGGGGTCTCCCTAGCAAGCAATATGCAATAGAAAAACTGGTGTAGGATGGAGTTTGACTCACAAAAGATACTGAGTTACCACACTACTAATTTTTCGTTACTCAAAGGTAGTTAAGTGCTAATTAAGGAAATATTTAAGTACAATTACTACTTTAAAGTTCTCTTTTGTTAAGCTGCCCTACTTGCTTTCAGCATTCACAAAATAAGCCTTCCAGTTTGTGGCTCCCAAGAAGAAAATTCAAGCATAAAATCTGGACCATGGTACCAGGAATTCAGATTCTCTCCTCTCTTATGCACTACCTTTTTTTTTTCTTCCCTTTGATCCCTTGTGTAGCTGGGGATCCAAAAAAAAAAAAAAAAACAACACGTATCTGATCTATTTCAGATTGAAGAATAGAATTTTAATCACTTCTTGTTTGTAATGAATTTGTTTCCCCTACTATTCAACTTGCTCTGTTTAGCTGCCTTCAAATGTTTTGTAAAAGGTACATTTTTAAAGTCAAAGCAGTATGACCTTGGCTATTGAAGTGGGACTGCAAAAATTTGATATATTTATGCTTCCTATTTTAAACTCTATTGATTGCCAAGAATTCAAGAGTTATGGTAATACATTCAAATACATTTCTAACTGTCAAAAGAAAATAAAACATATAAATAATTAAAATTTAACATAATTTAACACCTATTTAAATGGGCTCACTCACAAATCACAGCTCATCATATTCTAATCAGTATACAATTACAAACACCTTATTTCCACAGATGCTTTTCTACTCACTTTCTTTAGCAAAAGAGTATGACGATAAACTGCTTCAATTTACCAGGTGGATTTGTTGGAAATCTTTTAGTAGACTATTTAACTTCAGAGCACTTCTATGCAGGTTAACATTCAAAATTTATCACTGGTTTCTGGGGAGAACATATGCTGTCTCACTTTGTTTGACAAAACGTGCTATCACTGGCTGTTCATACTAAGACAATTATCAATGACTGCCGTTTAATAGTGTGCTCCGTAAAGAGCTTATAGTAAATAGCATCACAGTGAATTTCTTTTTTTTTTTCTCCTTAGTTTTCCATCACTATTATTCACTTAAATGCCTTAAAAAGTAGCAAACATTTCAAGTATTCAATGAGACTAAAAATCCTGAGACCAGCTGACTTTCACATGTAGCCACAGACCAATGAATACCTCATCATCAGCCTGCTGAAGCCTGGCAACAGCATAGCGTCGAACCGTTGGGTTGGTGAAGTGAGATGACAGAAGTTCTAGAGAGTCTTCCACATCCATGGGCTTCCACTTGCCCAGTAGCTCCAGTGCTTGCTTTGCCTCTTGTGGTAGGTCCCAGTTGACACATTTTAAGAATTTTGTCAAGGCCTAAATAGAAAGAGATTGGACAATTCATCAGTGAAAAGCCGGGCTAAACAAATGATGTAGAATAGAACAGAATACAGATTATTTCAGTCGGAAGAGAGGTACAGCGATCATCTAGTCCAACTGCCTGACCAATTCAGGGCTGATCAAGTTAAAGCATGTTGTTAAGGGCATTGTCTAAATGCCTCTTAAACACTGACAGGATTGGGGCATTGACCACCTCTCTAGGAAGCCTGTTCCAGGGTTTGACCACCCTCTCGGTAAAGAAATGCTTCCTAATGTCCAGTCTAAACCTCCTCTGGCGCAGCTGTGAACCATTCCCATGAGTCCTATCACTGGATACCAGGGAGAAGAGCTCAGCACCTCCCTCTCCACGTCCCCTCCTCAAGTAGCTGTAGAGAGCAATGAGGTCACCCCTCAGCCTCCTTTTCTCCAAACTAGACAAGCCCAAAGTCCTTAGCTGCTCCTCACAGGACATTCCTTCAGCCCTTTCACCAGCTTTATTGCCCTCCTCTAGACACATTCAAGGACCTTCGCATCCTTCTTAAATTGTGGGGTCCAGAACTGCACACAGTATTCAAGATGAGGCTGCACCAACGCTGAATATAGCGGGATAATCGCCTCTTTTGACCGGCTGGTCATGCTGTCTTTGATGCACCCCAGGATGCAGTTTGCCCTCTCGGCTGCCAGGGCACACCGCTGACTCATATTGAGCCTGCTGTCAACCAGCACCCCCAGATCGCTTTCTGCAGGGCTCCTCTCCAGCCACTCCTCTCCCAATTCATACTTTTGCCCGGCATTACTCCATCTTAGGTGCAGAATCCAGTATTTGGACTTGTTAAATTTCACCCCATTAATCATTGCCCAATGCTCTAATCTAGATCCCTCTGCAAGGCCTCTTGTCCCTCGAGAGAGTCAACAGTACCTCCCAGTTTGGTATCATCAGCAAACTTGCTAATGGTGCATTCAACTCCTGCATCCAGATCATTGATAAATATATTGAACCAAACTGGCCCTAGAATTGAACCCTGAAGAACACCGCTGGTCGCCAGACAGATGTAGCCCCATTCACTACAACCCTTTGATCTCTGCCCTTCAGCCAGCTCTTCACCCAGCACACTGTGACCCTGCTCATCCCACAGTTGGACAACTTGTCCAAGAGGATGATGTGAAATTAATGTTTCATGTTAAGGTAGAACTAGATTCAGACTATATTTACATAAGCACAGACCTGAGGAGCCTTACTGATGTAAGTGACAATATGATATTGGATTGTTTTAATATGTCCCAAAAAACTGCAGCTGGGTTATCGTTTAAGTAAAATATAAAGTCAATGGTTACTGCTCTACCACAATTACCACTACATAAAAAATGCCCACTGCTGGGGCATTATTTAGTTATTTAATTTACTTTGGGCTTTTGGCATGCTGCTACATATTCTGGTAATGCTAACCCTTGTCTAAAAGGGATGAAGAAGCTCCTCTTTAATAAATTTTCCTTGCTGAAGACAAAATTGGCAACACTGGTATTTTAAGCTGACAGTCAGTGTTTGTAGAAAGACTGCTCTAGTAATAGCCAGTTCATACGAGTTAAGAGGGAAAATTACAGTCACCAATTTTTACATCAGCAACATTGTAGAAAAAGTTAAAATAATCTTGACTAGCTTCTAAGACACTGAAGCTCTGTAACTCTGCAAGGACAGAACATTATAGAACAAGTGGCAGATGAAGCACCTCTTGCATTAGTAAGTCCTCTCAAATCATTCAACTTACCTTCTCCTGATTAGTAAGGTAATATCTGAATTTCCAAACTAGATCCTGTTCCTCGTATGTTAGCTGCTTTGTCGGTGGATAACTCACTATGATCTATTAGATACATAGACAGAAAGTGAGTTTAAAAACATGAACAGGCATAATCAACAAGTTAACAGACTACACTGTGACAAAGCACAACACTGACAATACACAAAAATAGCTAGGAAAAAAAAAAGCCTTCCAACAACACAAAGTTCTCATGCTATCATGGTGATGCTCCTCAGTTATATGGTTGATTGAACTGGCAGCGGAGGCAAACATACACAGTTACTTTAAGACTACCATCAACACCTACATGATATGTGCACAATATGCATTCTTATCCTCCCAAAACTGTTTTACAAAAAAATGAGCAAGTACCTTCTGATGCTTTCCGAGTTGGACTCATCTAACTAACCACTTGTAAGAAACACTTAACAATATTTCTTCATTACTTTCCTTAAACTGAAGTGAACTGTATTTTCCTTAAACTGCCACCACATATTAATACCAAACTACCTAATAAAATTGAATTTAGCCATCATATGACTGACTTACATTAAGCTGATCTCGCGTAGCTGCATTAGGCTTCAAATCATGATCAGAAGGTCCACTTCTTAAACTTCGAGCAAGCTTGTGATGTTTGCTTTCTACTAAGTTCTCCTAAACACGGAGGGTAAGTCAGTATTTATAAATACTTAAACTCCAGAGAAAATTACTGTTGAAATGAAACCATCTAGCAAAGACTCACCAGTATCTTGAATAATGCATGACAATTAAAATTCACACCTAAAACTACAACGTCTTCTGGATTTTTTTTGTTGTTGTTTTAGAAGAAACTCCTTCAATAATATGTGGAGGGTTGTTGAGGATTTTGAAGTTTTGGTTTGTTTTTTTTACTTCACACAATTTACAAACCCTATCTTGCCTTTTGGTGAATTGCTGCAAAATGCAAGCGCTTCAGTCAACCCATCTGTGATTCAGACAGCACTCAAACGTGCTAGCCGCTTTTTAAACATTTTTAGGATGTTTGCGGTATAAAGCTTTGTACGCAAGAAAAACTTCTCAAAAAGTTTTCCCACTGTTAATACCATGTTAGCAACAGTAGGAGCCACAATAAGAGCCACAGTGTCAACAAGATTTCAGCAGCCAAGGCAGTTTTCAGCATTGTCAGACTTGCTCTTGCAGTGTTAGATTACACAGTGCTCAAACAGTGTTGCCAGTAGAAGCCCACTTACATTAAGGTTCCCAAAGCTGCCAATACCAGTCCCACTGAATTGGCATCCACAATAATGGAAATCTTTTCTAGAACTGTACTTAGGCACTGTCTACATGAAAGACAACATACAAGAGAGTGTAGGGAGAAAATATTTTAACAGACGAAGTGACCAAGAGTTACTGCACCTTCCGCTAAATTTCTGTTCTTCAGCTCCCTCTTACCTTATATCCCCACCCTCTGACCTCTTTTGCCAACAATCCCCCTTCTCTGCTTTCCTACACCTCAGAAGCAAGCACATTAGGTATGGAAAGGAGGAGATGAACATAAGCATTACATCAATTCTTGTATTTTAATCTAGCAGCAGCAAAAAAAAAAAATTACAAAAAGTCAAATCCATTGATATTTCTCAACTGGTCAAATACATCTTTCCACTGGAATTTTAAAATATTGAAGACAGCAATATAGGCAAACTTTTATCTCCATTTATGAAAACTTCAACAGAAATACTATAATACAGATTGCATTACCTGGAACATTGCTTACCATAGACATCTGGGGATCTGGAATCTTAACAATTTCAGAACTTGTTAAAATTGGAGATGACTCATCACCATCCTGAACAACAAAAAATTAAAGACATATTAAACATCTCAAATTTTAGGAAAAAAACAACATGTCATATTAATGTATTGTGATTTGTACTACAGTGAAAGAACGATGCAACTGCACCTTGCTGACTTTTGATAGTTTTAAAGGGGAAAACAGAAAATAAGTTTTTTCTTGTTAGTTTTTGCCAGATGATAAACAAGGTGGCAACACAGATGAAAGTTCATCCGAGGAGATGCAGCTTGGCAACTCACTACCATGCTGGCACACAGGTGAGTGAAGAAATTTGCCATGATCATTACATGTGTCTTCTGGAAGCACAAAGACAAACCAAATCAGGGTCCATATTTCTACCAAAACCAAATAATTTCCTAGAAATAACAACCATGTTGCAGAAAATATCTCCTAATACTTCAACATACAGGCTCTCTGAAACACAGACGAATTTAGGAAGATATAAGCGTGCCTATCTATCACAGGTTCCACACGGAACATGACAGTCTCTTCTAGAAGTTCATGCTGTGCTGCTCTGGCGCAGTATGACAGAAGCCTACTAGTTTTCCTTAGGGGAGTCTAACCTGCTGCTGCATAAGTAAGGGAAAGGACAAGCTAAAAGTTTCCAGTTTGAACCAGGCAGAAGGAAAAAATACAAAGCCTACCACCACATGACAGGAACAGCAACTCTGCAACTCTGTTTCCCTCTAGTCATGCCCAGTCACGTGGTTTTGGATTTTTTACCTTGGAAGTGTAACTAAGTATTAATTGACACAACCTACAGAAGAATATTTCATTTAAAAGACAGTATAAAACAGTAAAACAGAAAAAACAAGACAACACCAGCATAATATGCGCTATGCTATATTTATACTTAGTTTGTTCTCATTTATTTTGGAGTAAATTTCAGCTCAGAATAAAGTGTTTTTGACATATCAACATTTCCCTCAATAATGTAAATTTTGAGATAACTTGCTCAGGTTTGCTTCTGCCCGCATCCTCCTGTTTTGTGGGCTTCCCCCCCCCGCTTCTCCAATCACATATTTCTCTTGGGATGGCTTTGCTTTTTTACTTTTCAGAGGTAACTTTCAAAGAAGCGAGGGGCTTGTGTCAAGGGGAAGAACAAGTCACCAACAAGACACAGGAGTTATAATTGCCATTAACATTTCAGGCTTCTGCCCCCATCCTCCTGTTTTGTGGGCTTCCCCCCGGCCCCGCCACTTCTCCAATCACATATGCCTCTTGGGATGGCTTTGCTTTTTTACTTTTCAGAGGTAACTTTCAAAGAAGTGAGGGGCTTGTGTCAAGGGGAAGAACAAGTCACCAACAAGACACAGGAGTTATAATTGCCATTAACATTTCAGGAAAAGCATTTTTTTCCACCTACATAACTTTTGTGTTGCTGACTACAGTAAAAGATCTCTTATTATTAAAGTGCACATTCAGGAAGACACTTCTATTACATTTATTACTGTCCTACGCCTTTCTGAAGTAACAATTTTACAGTCAAAATAATGACAGTAACTACACACATCCTTCCTAGTTAAGGGAAATAACACATACAATCTGGCTGTGGCTGATGATGGTCCCAGAACATGAGCAGTATTGCTTTTCCCATTAGTCTTTAAAAACAGTACACATGCAAACACTGAGGAGGACAAAGAGGACATTTGCTTACAGTTTCTCTGTTTTAAAACCATACTGCCTACATAATGAACTTAGTTTTAACCCAATTGTATAGAATTAATAAAAGTATTTCTATTATAACAAAATACTACTGCATCACTGTAACAATAGACTGAACTGAGTCGAAGCCACACTGACAGATCAGCACTCACATTGTACTAAAACGCTGCCATCTCATCAGACAGAACTTTCAGATCATGTTATGCTAGTTTTACAAAGTCAAATTACATAAAAAACAATGAAATCGTTTGGGGGGGAAAATCCTTCTGAAAATAAACACATCTGATGACAAGAGATGACAGACCCATTTCTATCTACTAATTGGTTATCTTCCTAATCAAAACCATAAGGCTGCAATCTGACTTGACCTTTATGAAACAACAAAGGATTACCAATGTCCCAGTGACAAACACGTTTCCGATCCATTTAGACCCTTCACATAAAAGCGCTGTAGAAAAAACTTGACACAGGAGTGGATTCACTAGCAACTAATAAGTGTTCAAACTCCTACTGAAGCATTTATAACACCTATATCCTGTGTGGATTCTCTAGGGATAAGCAGTAATGACACCCATGCCATTACATCTTTCTCTCAGTGAAAACATTCAGATAAAATAGCTGTAAAGGGAAAATTTCGCTGGAAAAAATGGAGCACCTACCCCACAATCAAAAACCTATGACAGCTATTACCAACTCAGAACTTACCAGGATGAGAATGACAAAAGCACAATTGCCTAAAATTTGCTTATATACAAAACTAAAATAAAAAATGCACAAAGCCTTCCAGTGACTAACGTCAAAACGTTTATAACACCCTTTAAAACCAAGATTGGGGATTGTTTCCAAGACTAGCGTCAAAAGATTGATTTCTAAGCTCATTGCTGACATGTCTTTTTTTAACCTTTCGAAAGAAATATTATGACTGTTCTTTAAACTCCTCTTCTCAAATGCAGCTAGAGTATGCTGAAAAGCTCTAGTTATATTCAGCTAAAGCACAAGGAAAACTTTGTTCCCATTGCCTTTTAGAACAAGGCCTTAAGCTTCAACCAAAACTTGCTGTGAAACCAAGTTTTGCCAAAGCATTCGTGGGGCAAGTTACTGTGTCAAGAGTTAACATTTTCAGAACAAACTATTTTGTGAAATCCTTAAGAAGGCACAATGCCATTAGTTTGACCATGAAGAACGTTGGTTGTTTAACTTTGCCTTCCAGTTAGATTAATACGCGGCTCTAATTCTCTCTCATATTTGGAGAGCATCACATGGATCACTGTGACCCTGACCATACAAACTTACTAAACCATACCAATGCCTGAGGGTCAACTCTAAATCACCATTTGAATTTGGTCAGGTACGTGCTTTTGAAGTGTCTCTCCTGATCATCCCCATGCAGCGAGCTTTGGTTCATATCATGGAGGTTTTAGAAATACCTAATATCCTCCAACTGCCAACAGTCATTCAGCCCATGGGACTTGATTAAAGCTAGTCCCAAGCGGAAGAACACAGTGCAGACATTGGGCCTTCAGCAACCTCTTCACTGTAAATCTGCTCCTCTTGGCTGCATTACTTGCCAGCACAGCCAGAACCTGAGGTGACCTGCTATTTTGCCACTGGGAAACAAAAGCAGTATCAATACTAAACAGCATTAACTTGCTTTAAACTACTATGTTACAGAGGTGTTTCACTACATTAAGGTCAATGTGTGTAACTTTATATAAATATTAGAGCCCATTTAAGAAAGTCAACAAAATTTGCAGAATCTTTTGAACCAGCAAGATTTTTTTCCTGAAAAATCAGTTTCACAACATCAATAAATAAGGAGGTTCTATTTATCTTATTCTTTAGTCAAACCATCATTTCACGTAACACCAATGGGATCTAACTTCTCCCATACAAAAAGTACATAGGCACCCAATGCTGTAAACACTACTTTTTCTTTCTTTCAAGCCATGAAAAAGTCTCTGACAATCAGACTACTTTTTTTTTTTTTTTTAAAAACAAACTGGATACAGCAGTGCAATCAATTTATTTATTCAAACAAAGGTTTCACCTGAAACCTGCACAAAAACACATTAATGATAAATGCTGGTGTTACTTGCACTTGAAAGTCACACTGAATTTTTGTCTAAATGGAGAATCAGAAGCGATGCTCTCATTACTAGCAGACTGCTATCCTTCACCCCTTGAATGCTGTATTAAAATTAAGTTAACAGAGAACATGGAAAGAGCCACTGCCACTTCACTTCATTGTAATTGAATGTTGAGTCAAAGAATCTCAAATTCTATCAGCCACTGTTTAACAGGCTAGTTCTTCGTAAACACTTGAAAACAAATTTATCAACAAAACTGTGACAAGTAATCTCCACTTCGACTATCGGTCACAGGCAGGTGACAACAGAACCTACTTTCATTAGACTCAATATACTGGATTGTGATGCCGGATATGTATACTGTACACCGTAATTGGAAGCATGACAAAACTGAGAAGACAGACGCTAATTTATGTAGTTTCCTACTGCTGCCAGAAAAGGGTCAAGAACTTATTGAAAAGCTGCTTCATAACAACAAATCCCTCAAACTGCAGTTAGTTACAGCTTTAATATGTACTATTACACATTCAATTACTTTATTTCCACAAGAGCAGCCAATTCAGTTATTTTGTTCTATGCACTTTTAATATGCTTCAGAAAAAGTTACAAGAAAGATGCATGCTTGAAGTCTGAATATTCTTTCCCACGCCTTGCACATCTGTAAAACCATAATGATGACAAAAAAAGTTGTGTGTGTAAATCAGGAATAATTCATGTATAATGATCAGTTTGTGGAGGTGAGGGAGAGAAATCATATTGAATTGTCACATTCAATTGTAAAAATAAAAGAGCCAAGAGGACACAAAGCCGCACAGTAGCCACGCTCATCAGTTTGCACCTGTGAAAAGTACAGCACTTTCTAAAGTAAAAAGCTAATGGTTAGTAAAATGTTTCAATATTTTGATCATATTCCATTATGGTCTCCAGAAAAATATTTCCTTGATTTCCACAGAAGTAACTTTATTTTGTTTCATGGAGGAATCCAACACATTGTAGGTTTCATTCCAATTTGTAACACAAGGGTTACAAGAGTTTTGTAATAATGAGATCCTTTACAATAGCTGGTTCTAGAAGTCTATAGAAGTACTATGAAACAAGCTATTCTAAAGGCAAAAAGACTTGGACAGGTGGGGAGAGGTCCCATTGTCAACTACAGTCCACCAAAAGAAATGCTGAAGAGCTGCTTGGACGCTCAGGCAGGAAGCTAGGCAAGTTTTTAACCGCGACACCTGCCTAAGGCACAGAGTTTCACCAAAATTTTATCTTTTTCAACTCTACAAGCTGTTTTTAAGAGATTTTAAACACGCCTTAAGTTCTTCTGTAATGGTTTACCGAGACACAGACAATCATAACTAAGCAACTCACATGTCAGTACAATAAATACTAGGGGAAAAAAATTCAAAAAAAACCCCCCTAAACCCAAAAAAACCTCCACCCCACCAAACAAAAAACTACCACCAACCCACATACATATGTGTGTATGTCACATACACAGAAACACTTGTAATCTGCTTTTCCATTGTATTAATATTTTCTGCACTGGATTACAGCTTTTTTAAATTCTCAGAATAGAGAATTAAAGCTGCTTAAAGTTAGTGCCTCTGTTCTCAACAGGACTCCAGTCTCTTTTTCTACCTTCTTTCTCTTTCCCATAAAGCTGCATTATTCAGTAACTTTCTGAATTCTTGTGAATCCAAACAGGCTGAAAATTTTAAGAAGTAATTACTGACAATTTTTTTTTAAACCAGATTATAGATATACTGCTTTTTTTATTTCAGTGGGTCTTTCTACAATGCACAGGTCCATAAAAGTACTGATAATGCCTTCCAAAGCCACACTGATGTCTGTTAAGCTCACTGTTAATCCTTCGTTCCATTAAATTTGAACTCATAAAAAGCCACGGACCGCACTGCTTTGGAGATCTGTTTTGTAAACAGAAAGAAAAGATACAAGACATTCCAATCCAGAAGTCTTTTCTTAATTGACTTCCAAAGCATTTTCAGCCTGAAAGACAAAACTTTTATATTTGTTCATTTTAGAGAAAATGTTCACCAGCAGACCTCCTGTGCAAAGTTTCAATAACTTATCTTTTATAAAGTTACCAATCAATACAGGTACATTTCTTCCTGATATAAGACATAATTTTACATACAGCTACTTTGAAAGTACTGCTGGATGACTGAAAGAACCATAGATCAAAAAGTTTTTAATCACTCACACTTACTAAATTCTGTAATCTTGAACTGTATTACACAAATGATTGACTTCTGCAATCCTGTTACATCTATACTATTTGATTTGCATGTACATAAACAGTTGCCACTAACAGCTGTCTGCCACTATCCTGCAGCAGAATATTTCACCTCAGCAGAAAAACCTATCCATTTTAGGTGCGTACGTTGCTTTTTAAAGACGATCATAAAGCCTGCAAGGCACATACCTTTTCGTAGTAAACTATTCCATATTCTTTATCATCACACTTGACGCAACGGAATTCAATCATCAGGTACATAAAATTAGAACTTCGTTTTTCCCTCTGAGAAGAGAACCACCACAGATGTGTATCATATATTGAAGTGCATCAATCTTCGGCATTCTCAGTACAGCAATTACCCTACTTTCTTTGTGCTGTAACTGATTAATTAGATTATCAGTTGTTGTAGCAATTATTCAGTTAATCATTTCATAGCACTACTTGAGACCATATCACCTTCTTCCTGACATTCTTACTTCCTTACATTCTCTCTTCATGATAAACATCCACATGTAACAGATAAAATCACACTGTTTTCATGAGTGGCTCACAACTGTGGACTAAAGGTCTTTAAAAAGGCAATGCAGAATAACCAGCTGACAGTTGGGATTTTTGTGTGTTTTGGGGGTTTTTTGATGTGTTGTTTTGGTTTGGTTTTTTTGGTTTTTTGTTTGTTTGGTTTTTTTAAATCATTACACACAATTATGCATGTCAGAGTCAAAAACCAAAAGACAAAATCACTGTTTCAGATAAAACCATGAAAGAGACAAATTAAACTTGGACTACAAGATTAGATTTGCAGCTCATTCACTTTCAGAGGAAGATTTGCTCATGTATGCACTTTTGAAATGCTTTACCCAGAAAAAGTGCTTAGAATTTTAAAATCTACATGGGAAACAAGACAGAAGTTCACTCCTAAGCCAGTGAATGTTCCATTAGCAAGATCCCAAAAAACATTACAAATCTGATGTACAATGGCCTACCTCATTGATCATTTCTATTTCTCTAAAGGTCAGTCTGTCCAGCCAGTCCACTTTCACCATATGACCTTGCCGATGAGACTTGGTGAGCTGCATGAAAAAACACGATGATATTTAAATTGCTGGGAGCAAGAAAAAGAATTTCAAAGTCATAATTTTACAGAGACACTAACATAAAATCAGGGGAAAAAAATAAAGGAACAGGAAAAAATGCTTGTACAAAAACCAAAACCATGTTCCACGCACATCATCATTGAATTTTAACAAACAGGAACCTATTTTTTACGTAAAATCACATAACAAAAACATTTCTTTTTTGTGTTTCATAAGTTTCATATAGCAAAACTTACCAAGTCAAACAAAAAGAAGATATTTCAAAAACATCCATTGAATTATTCTGCCCTTGTTAGCACTACCAAAACAAGTTCTTAGATTGGGATTTATACATCGCAAAAGGTCAGCCAAAGACTTACAGCAAGTCGTAGACAACTTGTTCTCCCTTTCTTTTTAGTCATCTGAAGTGTAGTTCAAATTTTATTCCTACATCTACATATTGCTGTAATAATAGCAAGGAAGTTGTTTAAAGGACTACCTAACAGTAGAAGAGTGAAAGAGAAGATAAGTAAGATATGAGCCATACTACCTGTAGTTTCAGATGCACTGACACACAATTTATGAAAAACTCAGCAGAAGACCACACAAATATGAACAAGAATCATCTTTTCGGCTCCTACGAAATCACAAGTGTTCCTCAAAAAATTAGTAATTCTTGCAGTATGCAAGGAGATATGCAAAGGGACTAGAAGACATCAAGTTCTTTCATGTTTCAAAGAAATCAGTATCTGTCTAGAAAATGGCTAGTGAAGAGATCCCCAAAATTATTCCTATTAAGGGAAGGGTTACGATTACTACTTCATCAGCTTTGTTCTGTGGTCAAGAAGCCCACCCATGAGCATTTAAATTTGAACAGGCCATACAATCACACCAACTGCCATTTCTTCCCCAGCTGACATCTAGGGGACAGGTAATACACCAAGAGTACTAGGACAGCACATTAACAGAACATACTGTATGTAGGAGAACGCAGGATACACAACAACAGCCTACGTCTTCCATACAGAATTGAAGATGAGGTTACTACAAAAAAAAGACTCAGAAGACTTAAGATTTGCTATATGCTGGTAGTTGTCTAGGTTGCACAGTTTGTCAGATACCTGCACTAGACTTTCAGTAGCTCACCACTATAGATAAAAAAAACCCCACTGTGAACAAAAAAGCTTCAGAGTTTGCACCAGTAGTACTGTTTCATTATTCTCACTCAAATCTTCAGTAAACTGATGTCTTAGCAGTACAGGCACAAGTATTATTGCACACCAAGGATAACCTGGGCTAAATACAAACCCCATCATGATGTACTCTGAAAAGAGCATCAATTTCATGTCCAGGAACAGATCCTGACAGATCTGGAGAGTACATTCATGAAAACCTTACAAGAAGCCAAGCTTCAGAAATTATGCAGAATCAAACAGCTTTTTACATCTCAGAAGCAACACTGACATAATAGGCAAATAATTGTCTAGTCTCCAAAAGACTGTAAACAGCCATTAAAACCATTAATGAAATGAAATTTCAGTGTTCTGCAGTCTCCCTGCAGGTGTTCTTATATCAGTGGAACTGAACTGTCAAAGATCAGCTAGTAAGCTTTTATCCTTGTCTTTTAACACCTTGATCAACTGCCCCTTCACATCCAACAACAGACCATCTTGCTTGTTCACTTTCCACAAAGTGACTTCTTGCTGTTTAAGACAAGTTCATTGGTTTTTTTTTCTCTTATTCACCTCCCCAGAGTTTAATTTGGTGTTATGGTCTAACAACACTTTGGATACTGGTTCCTACCTCTAAGCAGGAAACAAAACTCCCACTGAATTTGGAACTGCTTTTTTGGAAACAGTTTATGTCAGAAAGAGTTGGAAAACACTACAGCCCACACCATGGCCTCTGTGCCCTCTCAAGATCTAAATTAAGTTTTAAGGCAGATTACTTATGAAAGCAAGCATAACATTTAGCTCCGAATGTCAATACTGGCTAATTTCACAAATGTGTTATTTAATTCAGCTTTTCTGATTCTTGGTTCCTACTAAGTCTACTAGAGATAAGGTTTAAAATTTACCACTGAATATTAATCCTCAACTATAGTTATTGGCTCCACCAAAGTAATGGACTAATCAAAAGCAGTCACAATTTAAGAAGCAGTCAAAAAGCTATTCAGTTGGGAGGTTTAAAAAAAAAAAGGTAGGATTTTCCTATTTCCAGATTTGCTAGGAACTGGCCATTTCAAGAAGCACTAAACAGTAAATTAGCCATGAGCATCTGACGCCCTTTGTTCTAAACCCATTCCATGAAACACAAAAACATAATCCCATAACAACTATAAGCTTGTTTACTTAAAGCAGCTGATTCACCTAACATTTCTTCAAGCTCTAGACCACAGTATAGCTTGACAGAAGTAATAAGATTTTGATGCAAATTTTGGAAGACCACTGCAACTTCTAAGAATTAATTAACTCTGTTCAGTACATAGTAGGGGCTTTTTTTCATTTGTTTTGTCTCCAGTAAACTCTGGGATATCTAATGTTCAGATTAGCTTCAATAAACTTCAGAAACTTAACAATACAAAAGGAAAAGGAAGGGCGGGGCGGGGCCCAAAGTATAATCCTTAAAAACATTTCAGGATGCTGGATGTAACCAAAGCACAGAAACCCAGTCTTTGGGTTCTTTCAACCCTTTATCAGCAGGATTGTAAACAGCAGCAAAATATAGTAAAATTTTTTTGCTATCTTATGTTACATTCTGCAGTCAGTTCAAATTCTATCTCAGCAATATTACAAAGACAGAGCGTGCCAGGACTGTACTAAAAGGATAATACAAGACTTAGCCTTTGCCTCATATGTGACTTTATAATACATTCCAAAGGTAGAGAACCAGAAGCATGCAGACCAGTTATAACCCAAGATGCTGTTTCAGGCAGGCTGGACATCATCACTTAACACATCCACAAGTGTCCTACCTAGTTCACAGAAAAGGTTTTCTCATTCTTAGCACTGAAGAAATTCCTTACCCTTACATGTCCACCATTTTAGCCACTTGTAAATTACTGCCTTTTTTTTTAATCCAACAAAAATATTTTTTCTTACTCAGGGTAGCCCTCTTATTTCACTACCTTAAAATCAATGCATCAAAAATGTTATTTAGATACCTTGGTCACAAATTCTTAGTTCATTTTCTTGTTCATTGCACTAGAGAATAAAGAAAGAAGTCATTCTGTGTGTTTTAGAGGAAAATTCATCTCTTAAACGTGCAAACCTCCCTTATAGAGATGAAAAAAAAGTCATAATACAGCAACTAGTTAGGCCTGCATACAAGACCCAGAAGATCTGAAGGCATATATATACATACACATGAAGAATTGTTCTCTTGAATTAATATTTAAAGCTGAACATAAGAGAGAAGCTAGCGCATTCCCTTCAGGGAGAGAAGCATTCATCATCTGCTACTAAGTAAGAGGCATCCCTTTAGATACTACCTCACCATTGTTATTACCTAATTTCATTCAGCCAGCAGGAGGTGTGAGGGAAATGAATGGATCAGAAAGAACTTGAGTACTTTTGTTTAAGGTCATAAATTAACACACCACCCACGGGAGAAACATCTTAATGTCATTAATATTTGAGCGTGCTAAGGCATTCCACACCCTTCCCATTAATATTCCTTAATACAGGAAAAATCTGCATTCACAATGACCCCCAGGATGCAAAGCCATGGCTTCTTCATCAGTAGCAATTTTACAAGCAACATTCATGTGTTTTGTAAGAGTACAACCATATGGCACCTCAACATGAAAGGAGAGACTTGCCATAGTATCAATCATTTAAGGTAAAAGAATGCAACCCCTGCAGCAGCCAGTAATTGATTTTATAGAAATTCCCTGTAATAATAAATACCACACACACACACACAAACTCAGAAGCACGTCAAGAAAATAAAAAATTATCTTTTAGATAGAGAAAAGGTCCTTCAGCAAGCTCTTCTCAAAAGTTATTTATTATCTGGAGGACTCTAATTTGGCCTCTGGTATCAGACATCAATCAATAGCGTGGCACTTGTAAGTCTGTCCGATAAACAGAAAAAAACCAAACCAAGAATAACAAAGTCCAAACAAACTCATCTTGTATTTAAGTAGTCCTACTCCTCTTACCTATATTTAAATATACCTTCACATACAGTCACATCAGGAGGCATTCAGCAACTGATGAATAACTCCTAGAAAAACTGAAGCTGACTGTACTCAAACAATGGCTATTTAGGAATGGTACATCACAAGAACCTCATCTGCTGTGCAAATGAAAGCTTTCATAGACACACTACCCAGAAACCCTATTCACTTTGCTAGCATCTGATGGTAAAATGTTTTTATAAATGAACACAACAAAATATCAGTGAAAACATTCTCATCTTTCAGAAATTAGTATCTCCCAAAACAGCTTTCAGAAGAGAAGAGTGGTGGCAGTGATGTTATTAGCTTTTTATTAGCCATTAACTAGAACTCTCAATTGGGATGTGGAAGGAGAATTCCCTCCTCCTCCTCAGAGGCTTTGAGCCCTCATCTCCCATATGCCAAAAGAACAGGCTAGAACAGACCCAGATATTTTAAGACTGAAATACTCTACATTATTTGTATTTCTTGAGCTAGGGAGCATAAAAGAGTGAAGTGAAGAGAAGAAAAAACACCGGTAGGGTATGGTCATGCTTGCATAACAGAACTAACATGAAAGGGAAAGCCTACACTCTAAAACCCTTTCTCAGAGACCCACTGCCTACATCATCTAACCATTTGATGAACTATAAACAAGCCTTGATATTTAGTGTCTGTCTACAGAGCTTCCTTAGGCTAGCGGGGATTTATTCTGTGATCAAGAAATGGGGCACCACCACTGGCAGAAAGGTTTAATGAGTTTTCCATTATAAATTCAAAGTGAACTAGACTAATAAAAGAGAGACCCTAAATGAAAGTTAGTTTATTGCTGTGATAAATCTCTACATGAGAAAATGGACATATTTATGGCACCGGACCTATCTTTCACTGGGAGTGAGGTGAAGACTGTGAGGATGAAAACCAGGAGACCAACATTAAGAAGAAAGTACACTAAGTGGGTTGAGCGATTTGGCAAGCTTGTGGTAAGCTTACCTGAAGAATGAGAGAGATCAGCTAGTAAAACAGTTCAAGAACTAACATCTACTGATCAATTCCAGAAGTAGTTTTGATGGCAAAAATACACTCTGCCATCAAGCTCGGAGAAGAAAATTCTAACATACACACCTATTAATGAGCTTAAATGAACGAAACTTCGGTTAATTTTTGCAGTTCTACTCAAATTCTTTCTAATATAGAGGTATGTCATACTCATCTGAACACTACACCAAAGCACCTTAAATCTGAAGGATGGCTACTGAAAGAAACTAGACTGGCCTCACAAGTTACTGTTAGGAGCTGCTCTTACTGAATCTCATGAAATTTTGGCTTCGAGCATCTTCAATGCATGTTCACACTTTCATTCTTTACAAAGAATTAGAATATTAAGTTGTTACAACAGAATGCTACGTATATTAAAAGGTATTTATAAGTCCCCTTTTAAAAAATACTTCAGAAGTAAATGAATATGATTAGTTTACTCGTGTAAAAATCCTGTGAAATACCTAAACAATCAAAGCAAGATAGCTTTCACATGAGAAAACAACATGAGAAGCCTGACTTTATTAAAGCCTGTCTTCATTTCACTCCAGTGAAAGCGCAAGCTTTTCACATACATCTTAAAGGTTACTTGCTATTCCATTACCTTTGCCAAGCGGCTCATTTGATCTTCAGAGACTGTGCTGCTGGTTCTCCCAGGAGTTTTGGTGGGCTCCGAGCCATCAGCTTCTACGTTGGGCCAGACTTTCAAATCATGCATTCCTTGACGAAACATACTGCAGGGAAAAATGCAGAATCACTTCAGTAAATTCAAAATAATACAGCTGTCAGGTATCAAAGTACAGCACCAGCTGCAAGAAAATGAAGTAGCTTCCTTTGCCAAACCTACAAACATGCACTGCCATGCATAATTTAACTGAACTGCAAAAGTGCCTCACACCTTGTGCCTACAGCCTTCATTTTTATTGGCACACAGAGTTTAGAAGAAAATGAGTAAGTCTGAGATAACTTATTTGGCAAGTGGAAGAAAAATAGGTAATTCCCAAAGTCAGCAGGGTGGTACAAATGCAAACTGAGGACAAAGCTTGACCTTCATATTTTTATTATTTGTAATGAAGCAGAAAGTATTCCTCTTGACTTGCAAATTATAATACTGACTTTAGGTCTGTCAGTCTGAAAAAAATTCAACTAAAAAACTACCTAAGTTTCATTTGAAGGTCAACTGATAATCAACTGATAAAAAGCAGCCTTCTGAGCTGCCAAATAAAAAAAAACCCACAACCCTCAACACACCATCTTCTCCATCTATGCTTGAAATTGAATTGGTAATTGAAATTGTGCAGTGAACAGAACTTTGCAGGGTAACTGACCACACCTTTTCTCTGCAAAACCCTGCTTTCCTTGCGTATTTGTGCTGATCCACCGATGAAAGATGCCCCAAGTGCATTAGCTTTGCCAGTAAGAGGTGTCACTTAACTCAAACAACTTCAGGTAAACACAACTGGAAGGAACACTTTCAAAAGTCAACCATTAAAAATGAGAGATACCAACCAGAAGGACCATCTGATCTTGAATTTACACATCACTCTGTGGAATACTATTACAAAGGTTTCCATTTACAAGTAAATACAAATCTTGAAATTATTTGTTGCTTTCTGTCCATCTACTTCCCCCAGGCCCCACACACTGGAAAGAAAAGTAAATTTCATTTATCAATTATATCTTTTTCCAGGAACTATGCTCTAATGCTTTAAAAACTACCAGCAGTCTTTGGGGCATAGTCCAATTGATCCAGTTCAATTTTCTGCCCTAAGACAATGTCAACCTTTTTGTCACAGCAATATCTTCAATGACAGAGTTACAACCTCTCTGTACAGTCATTTTCTGCATTCAAGTGTTACTAGAACAGCTTTCCCAATGCTAACCTAAACTTTTCTTGCACTTCAGTTTAGGCTTGTGACATCTTATCCACTGACAAGACAAAAAAAGGCTATTTCTCCCCATTTTCCACTGCTACCTACATACAAGAAAAGTGTTCCTCCAGTCTCTTCTTCAGCCTTACTAGTCTTTACTCCTCCTCCATCACACCTGTTTGCTAGACGTTCAATGATATGGATTCCTTCAGACTCCCAGTAGACAGCAACTTGCTTAAGTCAGTTATATAGAACTGAACATATACCAGCCGAGTGGACAAGTATAGAGAAGGAGGAGACAACATTGTCCCCGATGCATATTTCTAGACTGTTCATATATTCAATGTTGTTTGCACATTTCACCAGAGCATCATGATGCTGAATCATGCAAAACTTAAGAGTCACTCTAAAACCCAAATCTTTTCCTCTGTTTTCCTGGGCAGCTGCTTCCCATTCTGTATTTGACTCCAATCAATTGAAAAAAGTGCCAGCACCTCATACTTTTCCTTAAACTGCATCCTATTTTTTTTTCAGTCCCCTTTGCACTTAGTCAAGATCCTTTTGATGTATTGTCACCTTCCAGCACACTTGTAATCCTTCCCATTTTAGTGTTATCATCCACAAACTTACTAAACCCACCCACAGATTATTAATTTTGAAAATTCCTGATTCACTGAGTTACACTTTATTCCTATAAATAATACTTCATTAACAGCCCAATTGCAAGCCAATTAAATGAATTATCTTAAGTATTTAGTACTGGCATCCATGCATTACAGAAGTATACATATGAAGTGATTTCAGCAATTCCTACCTTAAAATCCAAGCTTACAGATCTAAAAAAACCCAAAAAGCCTAAATTTTGGTGTTATACAAGAGAAGACTTTTTTTTTTTTTTTTTTTTTTTACACAACACTCTCGCATGTATGAAGTTACACACAGGAAGAAATAGAGTAAATCATCTATGTATCTGATTTTTCAAACATCGAACTGTTAATCTAGCTTAAAAAAATGTGAAAAAAAAATCTCTCATACTACTGCTACCTTACTATTCACAAGTGAGCTTCAAATCTGTACCAGAGAAGAAAAAGCAGTATACCCATATTTCCCAAAGAGCGAGACCGTTGTTCCTCCCACAGGAACTGCTTTACCAGGTCCATATACATCCCAGATGGTCAGAGCCACCTGTGCATTGCGAGGCAAGTCTGGATACTTCACAGGCAGTTTCAGCCATTCATTCCAGCTGCAGAGAAACACTTTTTGTTAGTCATAAAGCTTTAGAATTCAAGTTACTCTTATTAGTTTATACAACCCAGATTCTCTTTAGAATATGAATATCTATGGGCAGATGAACTATTTTCCCCTGGGCTTTGACATTCAAATACTTGTCTTGAGCATGATTAAAAGGCTAGAGACCAAACAAAAAATACTCTAGATTGATGACTAAGTACCAAAGATCAGTTTGTCCAGTAAACAATATGAAAGTGTGCTAATCCAGGCCCCAGAAGTTATTTAAGTAGTAAGCCATGCCCAAACAAACAAGTAACAATTTTATTACTTACCCATTACACAAAAAGGTTGGTTTTGTGCTGTCAGGGCAACACTTAATAACCATACAGAGACTTGAAGAAACATAAGTTATTTGAAGAGGACAACAAAAAACAAATCTTTTTGACACACATAAAAACCATAGATTTATTTATATAACTTGAAGCCCCAGTAACTAAGAGGAATATGAAATAAAAGGCAGTCACTTACTTCCATCTAGTGCTAAAAGCTTTGTAGGAAGTTCTAACTGGAAGAGCAAGAGGCTTCCCTTCTGCAAACACCTGACAAGTTACGTACAAGTCAGAGCAAGTTTCTTGATACAGTCCTGAGAACTTCAGCATGGGATCTTCTAAGAGAGCTTTGTAACTCTTCTGTTCTCTTTTCCCTTCCAGACTGCCTCTATGTGGGGAGGGAAAAAAGACAAAAAAAAAAAAAAGGAGGGGGGGAGGAAGAGAAAAAATAAATAACCCACCATTTATTTTATCCACAGCAAAAATCCTATTCTATTTCCATAGCTTATATTTAGATTACCCAGTACTGAGGCTATCCTCACTTTGCATTACCAGTTGGTTGTGAAATCCAAATATCGGAGAGGAACTCAGGATGTAAAGCGATGAACAAATACAGAATTATTGCTATACTGATTACGGGTCGGGGGGAAGAGAAGGGAAGGGAAGAATTACTTGTTTGTCTTTTCAATGGAGATAACTTCTTCTAGTACAACCTGTAGATTCTTAGACAGCATCAAATGAGATACCCTAAGCAGGGCAGTAATAAGATGACATATGCTGCTAACATTAAAAAAACAAAACAAATACCATATTACATGTGCTCCAAATATTATTTGGGGGGGGGAAAAAAAACCCACATGATAAGAAAAGCCTTATTTTTAAGTTGTATGAAATGTATGTATGACTGGCTTTGGATGCCAGTCACCTCTCTAATCAACAACAAATCAAAGCTCAAGTAAGCAGACTGCTCAAATCAAATTTGATTAAATCCCTGCAACGTTTTGCAGAATGCTAGTGTTAAGAGTAAATCAACGGAATTTCTCAGGCCTCAGCTATACCACGATGAAAACAATCAAGCATATTAAACATCTGACTGTGGATGCACATGTGAAAACAAAAAAGGAATTGTGGTGGTGATGGGAAAACATGTAAGATCAATCTTCCAGCAAACAAAAAAAATCTATCAGTACCACAAAAACTCTTCAGAGTAGATGAACAAGTTTCTTGCAAGAAACTAGCATAGCACATTCCTGGATGACATACACTCCAATGCACAAAAAAATCCTAGTTGTATTTTTGTTAGGCAGAATGAATTAGCAAAGAGGACACATGCATCTGACTTTAGATATCATCTTCCATTCAGAAGTTACACAACCACTGAATAAGCTTCCTCAAGTAAGTTTTCCAAAAAAGTACAATATACCTTAATGTAGGTATATACATAGGCAATATTCCTACATTAGGTTTACTACATTTTTAGAGCCAGCCATGTCCCTCCTGCACAAATATAAGCATCCCATTGCTGTGATGCAGAAAAATCCCAAACTTAAAAATCAAAAAATGAACCAGCGAATACATCAGCGTGTGATAATACCAGCCTCAACAAGAGTGCTTGCATATACCTAGTTAGGAACACATGTACATGTTCCAGCACCTGGATCTGCCCACAACCAAGAGCAACTTGCTTTCAAAGGAGCACGCAAACAAGCAGGAAGAAGAGTGTCGCCAGTCCATCTCCTTCCCTAACCCTGAGGAGTGAGCTGTGACACCAGCAGGTGAAAGGTTATCAGAGACATGAGCGCCGAATATTTGCCTTAAAGCACCGCCCTGCGCTACGGGACCTACGGCCATGAACGCCTGTAACGCGTTTGGAGCGAAGCTCACAACCCCGGCCCTGCTGCCGCCGCGGCCCCTCGCCCGTCCCGTCCCCACGGCACGGCTCGGCGGCGGGGGACGCTGAC